TTTTTGTCTTATTGTTGACTTTTGGGAGTTCTTTATGAAGTCTAGGCACAAATCTTTTTAAAAAATCAAATATATGATTTAAAAGTAATTTCTCCACTCTGTGGCTCATCTTTTCATTATCTTAACAGTCCCTTTTGAAGGAAAATGTTCTTCATTTTGATGAAGTCTAATTTATCAATTTCTCCCCTTTTATGGATCATGATTTTGCTGTTTTGTATATATATTTTTCTAACCCAAAGTCTTATATTTTCAGAAGGTTTAATAGTTTCAGGTTTTACATTTAAGCCTATGAACCATTAGTAGGAATTTCTTGTATATTTTATGAGACTTGAGTTGATCATATGGATATCCAATTGTTCTGGACCATATATTGGAAAGATTATCCTTTCTCCATTTAGTTAGTTGCCTTTTATGTACTTGTCAAAAATAAAGGTGTGATGTATGATTTGCAGATAATTCAATTCTGTTGGTTGTCTTTTTACTTTCTTTTAAAAAAAATTTTTAAGTTTTTAAATTAGAGCTTGCATTCAATATTATTTTGCATTAGTTTCAGGTGCTCTAATACACATAGTGGCTGGACAAAATGTTTCCCCCAATATTTCCAGTATCCTCTGGGCACCATAGTTAGTTATTACATTATTATTGACTATCTTCCCTATGCTGTACTTTACATTCCCATGACTATCTTGTAACTACCAATATATACTTCTCAATCCCTTCACTTTTTCTACCCAGTCCCCCAAACCTCCTCCTCTCTGACAACCATCAGTCTGTTCCTTGTATCTATGAGTCTGTTTCTGTTTGTTCATTTACACTGAGTGGCCAGATTATTATGATCTCCGAATGCATAGTAATCTGGCCACTCAGTGTATATCCTATATAATAAAAAGCTAATATGCAAATTGTCCCCTCGACCAGCAGGCAGGCCAGCCAACCATCCATGTCCCCTCCCCCTTGCCAGGCTGGCTGGACCCCACCCATGCAGGAATTCATGCACTGGGCCTCCAATATATATGTGTGTGTGAATATATATATATGTATATGTATATGTATATATATGTGTATATGTATATATATAGAGAGAGAGAGAGGGAGAGAGAGAGAGAGAGAGAGAGAGAGAGAGAGAGAGAGAGGCAATTATTATGTGTTCAGATATTATAATAATCTGGCCACACAGTGTATATTGTTCATTAGATTCCACATATAAGTGAAATCATATGGATTTGTCTTCCTCTGACTGGCTTGTTTCACTTAGCATAATTCTCTCCATTCATACTGTCACAAAAGGTACGATTTTTTTCTATTTTTATGGCTGAGTAGTATCCATTGTATACATGCACCACAGCTTTTTTTATCCACTCACCTGTTGATGGGCACTTGGGCAGCTTCCAGTCTTAGTTATTGTAAATAATACTGCAATGAGCATAAGGGTGCATATATTCTTTTGAACTATCAGAAAAAATATTGCTAAGAGAGATGTCAGAGATTTTACTGCCTGTGTTTTCTTCTAGGAGTTTTATGCTTTCAAGTTTTACATTGAAGCCTTTAATCCATTTTGAGTTTGTTCTTGTATATCTTGTATACGATATAAGATGGTGGTCTAATTTCACTTTTTTCCCCACATGTATCTGCCTAATTTAACCAACACCATTTATTGATAAGACTGTATTTACCCCGTTGTACATGCTGGGGGGAAAGTAGGTTTACAATTGTTCACATGGAAAAATAACACAACAATAAATAATAATATTGTGTTTTGCAAAGTCATAGCTGTAAACCTGCTTTTGCCCACCCTATATATGTCTTGCCACCTTTGTCAAACATTAATTGACCATATAGGTGTGGGTTTATTTGTGGGCTCTCTATTCTGTGCCATTGGGTCTGTATATCTGTTTTTATGCCAGTGCCATGCAGTTTTGATTGCTGTAGCTTTGTAGTACAGTTTGATTATCAGGTAGCATGATACCTTCAACTTTGTTCTTCTTTCTTAAGATTGCTGTGGTTACTGGGGGTCTTCTGTGGTTATATATAGATATTTGGATTAGTATTTGTTCTAGTTCTGTGAAATACGCTATTGACATTTTGATAGAAATTGTGTTGAATCTATAGATTGCTTTGGGGTAGTATAGGCTTTTTAATGATGTTAATTCTTTCTACCCATGAGCACTATATATGCTGCCATTTATTTGTTTCATTTTCTTACTTTAATACTTACAATTTCTCAAGTTCAGGGCTTTTACCTCCTTGGTTAAATTTATACCCAGGTTTTTTAGTTTTATTTTTCTAGGATGCAATTGTAAATGGGATTGTTTTTTTTAGTTTATCTTTTTGATAGCTCATTATTGGTGTGTAAAAATGCAACCAATTTCTGAATATTTATTCTGTACCCTGCTACTTTACTGAATTCATTTATCAGTCCTATTAGGTTTTTGGTGGAATCTTCAGGGTTCTCTACATACAGTATCATGTCACCTGCAAATAATGACAGTGTCAGTTCTTCCTTCCCAGTTCGGATGCCTTTTATTTCTTCTTGCCTGAGTGCTGTGGCTGATTCCAGTACTATGTTCAGTAAGAGCTGTGAAAGTGGACCTCCCTGTCTTGCTCCTGATTTTAAGGGAAATGCTTTTAGTTTTTCCCTATTATATCTCACTCCTGTTTTTGTCACCCGGCACCTTCCTCTCTCCTTTCAAAAGATGTCTCCTAACTAGAGCATTCTTTGGAATTCCCTGCCACCTGTACCTTCAGCCTTCGCCTCCTCATCTCATTTTCTCTTAGTCCTCTCTCAGTGGTCCCCAGGGACTTCCAGAGGCGCGTCACAGCATGGGTTAATACTGCAGACACGGCTCTTTCCTGGGCCGTCTCCCCCTGGTCTGAGGGGCTCTTCCTGGGTACCCTCTCCAGGGAGGCCCTTCCCCATGCGTGTCAGCCTCCCCAAACATCTCCCTGACCCAGGCCCAGTGTGCCCCAGGCCGGCCCACAGGCCTCAGTACCTCGCATTCCCTCTTGACCATCCTGCTCTGGTGTGAGGCAGTTTATGCTTTCTATTGCCAGTCCTTCGTTCCCAGTCTTGACTACTTATCTCCTCATTTAGATTGTCAGCTTCTGCAGAGCAGGGGTCTTCTTTCCTGTGATGAATAGACTGGGTTTTCTGCCACATCCTATGTAATAATCCTATATAATAAAAGGGTAATATATGCAAATTGGCCCTAATGGCAAAATGGCCAGAACAACCGCTGGACCGGTCACTATGAGGTGCACTGATTCCCCTCTTGGTCCCTTTCCCTGGCCAGCAGTGTCCTATCACCTGATGGCCACCCGCTGAGGTGGCGGGGCCAGCGAGTGGGTGGGGACAGCTGACCTCTTGGTCCCTTCCCCTGTTCATCAGGCTCCAAATCACTGATGGCGAACAGGAAACTGGGGGTGGGGTGGGGGGTGGCAGCAGGGGTCAGGGCCAGCTGTGGGCAGCTGAGGAAGATGGCCCTGATCGCAGGTCTGGGGACCATACCCAGACACGAATTTTGTGCACCAGGCCTCTAGTGGTTACATAAGATGATGATGATAGGACTCTGGGGTGGATGGGGTTTGGGGTGGGTTGTGGGGGCTGTGAGTCATCAGCAGAGTTGGTAAATTGAGTTTGCCTCTTCCCTGATGGTACCTGGGAGGTATCCTTTGGCCAGAAAATCAGAATTTATTGTGCAGCTGAGGAGAGAGCAAGACTTTGAGATGGGAAGGAGACACAGTCCCTTCCTGTTCATGGACCCATGGCACTGCACCCAGTGTGGAGTCCACACGGCCTGGAGGCCTGGGCTGGCTGAGGACCCCACATGGTCTGGACCACCTCAGAGCCGGGTGGGGAAAGCCTTCAGGCACAACACAGTCCTGAGTCAAAGTGGGGGGCAGTCTGCTGGGTCACTGCCGGGCAGCTGGTGCCCAGAGCGTCTTTTGAGATCGAAATGGACAAGAGGACTGGGGACCGAGGCAGGGCTCCTGAGGCCACGGGAGCCGCAGTGCAGGGCCGGCTGGGCTGCCCTTCCGCAGGTGAGTCTGACGTGAACTTGTCGGAGGCCTGGAAGCCTGAGCGTTTGTGTGGCCTGAGGAGAGGGCAGGACCAGGACCGCTTACCCAGAGACCGCAGGAGCGGAACCTGCCAAGATAAATCTTGGCTAAGCAGCACCTTTGTCGGTGTCTGAAATGCACTGTGTCAACTTGCTTTTGTGGGTTGTGTTGTGTTTTGTTCCCCCGTAGCTTTTCGGTCAATAATCTTTTCAAAAGAATTCCACCCTTGTCTCCGTGACCCAAGGGGCCGCGGTGTTTTTCCACACGCACATCCCGGTCAGCGCGGAGAAGGGCATCGGTGAGGGGTGGGGGTGGGGGGGGGTGTTGGTGGGTGCTCGCCAGCCGGTGTGGTGGGGTGCGGGGGGCCTTGGTGCTGGTGCAGAGAAAGAATGGAAGCCTAGGGAGAGGAGACGGGACCCCCTGTGGGCACTGATGGCCAGGGACCTTTTCCTTCTCAGCACAGTGCTGGGAGCTCATGGTGAGGGTCCGTACTTGTTTCAATGCCGCTGATCCCTCGCGAGGAATAAGCTAGGGCTTCTCTGCAAAAGGGCAGCCCTTGGTTCATGCTGGACGCTATCACCCTCCTGGAGCCTTCCTTGCACACACCCTGTCAGTCACAGAATCCCCGGGGCACCTAACCTTCCCACCTTTGGTACTGTGGACACGTCTTGTGTGCTCATTCCGTGACTCGGTGTCCCTGGGGCCATACCCCATCACAGGCCAGCCAGGCTGTGGGCTCTGAGGAATCAGAGTGCCTGACCAACGATGCCTGGCGGCTCCCAGCTTCCTTGGCATTTGTCTGCTGGCAGCGAGGTGTGTATTTGCTAAGGTGGGGCCTGGGAGCTTCGCGCTCTGGGGCTGGAAGGGGCAGGGCTGGGGCTCCCGTGACCCGGCGTCGGCTCCAGGCCTGAGCGCGGTGTCCCTCCTCGTCTCTCCCTCTGCAGCTCGTCTCCAACGTCCTCATTTTCTCCTGCACCAACATCGTGGGCGTCTGCACCCACTACCCGGCCGAGGTCTCCCAGCGACAGGCCTTCCAGGAGACCCGGGAGTGCATCCAGGCGCGGCTCCACTCCCAGCGGGAGAACCAGCAGCAGGTGAGTGAGCGGGGGCCTCCGCACAGCTGGCAGGGAGCGGACTCAAGGCTGACCTCCCCTCCAGCTGGGCTCCCAGCTGCCCAGCCCGGGAATGTTTCTCCTGGAGGGCGCCCACATTCCTGGCTGGGGGAGAGACTGGAGGAAGGGCTGTACCCCAGAGCTGGCCCATGGCCTCTTCAGTGCCCCCCTGGGGTTCTACAAATAAGCCGGCAGCCCAGTTCTGGCAGCAGGGAGGCGCCCTCCTCCTCCCTCCTCTCCTCCCGCCCCCTTTCCCCCACACACACACACACACTTCACCAGAGGCTGATGAGGTGGATTGTGAGAGTGTCAGCACTCCCTGGCCCGGCAGGAGTGCGTGCTGGGGACCCAGAGTGCGCAGCAGTGTTACCGCAATGTGAGGGAGTCTCTGACCGTCCGGCTGTGTCCTAGGGGAGGCACAGGGACACGGGCTGGTGACATCCAGACAGCTGGGCAGAGGGATGAAGCTCTGCAGTGTCTCTGCCCACCCCCTCCTCGGTCACCCCCTGTGTCCGCTTCCCTCCAGCCCGCATCTCCCCTCGCCAAGCCCCAGCTCCCGCTGTCTACGGGGAGGCCTGGCTTGCTCTGTGTGCTCCCCGGCCCCGTGGGGCTCCTGGTCCTGCCCCTTGAAGGAACTGTGAGCCTTTGTCCCTGAGAGGTCCCACCGTCTCCCTGACAAGCTCACCTCACCTCACCTCTGCACCCCGCTCACTCCCAAGCCCCTGAATGCCTCAGAATCCCCCTCTCTGGCTCCAGTCCGAAGCCCGGCACCTCTCTCCGGGAGCAGGCCACCGTCCTTCCCCTCCCACATGAGGGACTGTCCCTCTCACTCTGCACCTGCCCTTCTCCGGGAAGATCTGCACTTCACAGCTCACGTGGTTTACTTGCTCTGGCGCTGGCCAGGCCGGGCATTCCAGCAAACCCGTAGGGACCTGGGGGAGAAGATAGGTTTACAGCACCACGTTCCAGCCGAGCTACGAGCTGCGGGGCGGGGCGGTGTGGTGCGTTTGTGGGGACAGCAGGGCCCAGCAGCTCCCCGTCTCGCCTCCCACAGAAAGGGTGACTCTCCCAGGTGCTGCGTGACCGGGACTTGGCATGATTCCCCGGCCGCCTTCTGCCCACTCCTCCTGACCCTCCGCTTTGAGGAAGTCATCAGCAGAGTTGATGACTACACCATTTGTAGCACATGTTCTCCCAGCCATCCGCTATTTTCACAGACTCACCCTTTGGTTTGTGTTTCCATCACCGGGGACTGTTCTCTGGGAGTTCGGTAAATGCGGGATGGCCTTCAGTGGCCATGCTCACCGGGGGGAGGGGGGCCTGGAGAGACCAGACCAACCTCAGGGAGCAGCGTCCCTCACCAGCCCCCCAGGGTTTGGCGGGGGGCCACAGAGGGAGCAGGACACAGCTCCATCCCAGGGAGGCGTCTCACACTGGAGGAGACACGCTGTAGGTCATTGACATGCAGAGCGATCAGGGCTCTGAGGAAGGCCCAGGAGGGGAGGGGATGCTGACAGCACGAGCCAGGACCCCCTCCTCCTGGGGAGGCAGCGAGCCTGTGTGTGAGGATGGCCACTCTCATCCTCAGCAGAGGGGCTGTGTGCACACGCCACCAGAAGCTGCGTTTCCTCTCTCTGGAGCGGAGGGTAGGTTTCAGTTCGGGGGTGCTGGGAGGGGAGCAGGGGGTGCAGGGGAGACAGGAGCCAGATCCTGGAGACCTCGAGACCTGGCTGGGGAGTGGGCTGATCCTGCAAGCGGCATAGGAGGGTTTTATTTGGGCCAGCGATATGGTCAGGTGTGTGTTTTAGGAAGATCGCTCGCTGGCTTACAGTGGAGGATAGATCAAAGGTGGCAAGCCGGACCTGAAGGAGGCTTAGGCCTGCTGAGGCCGACCTGCAGGAGGCCCGGACCTGATGGAGGCCAATCTGAAGGAGGCCCAGGCCTGCTAGAAGCTGAGGCTGGGGTGGGGGGAGGTGCTTCGGAGGGAGAAGGACGGCGGCCAGTCTGGGTGGGTGGGAGTGTCAGGGCAGGCAAGGGGGCGGGTGGAGTGGGAAATAGGAGTGGGCTCAGTGGGTCCAGAAGAATCCACACTCGATGTGGCTGGCGGAGCCCAGGGGCGCTTTGCAGTTCGGAGCAGGAGAGGGACATGGGAAGGGCTGTGTACTGGAGGGACGGCCACACAGCAGGGCTGAGGAGCGGCTGTCTGGCAGGCGGCGTGGCCAGACCCCACTGTCCCACCGGGTGAGAACTGCCTGTGGACGGAGGAGGCGGATGCAGAACAGACAGAACAAGTCCAGGAGCTTATGTCCAAACCAGCAGGACCTGGTCAGTCTGTGAGTTCTGAGAAATAAGAGCAGTTACATGAGCAACGTCTTGACCTTTGGGGATAGGAGAATGAGGGTGTCATGGGCAAGGCAGGGGGCTTGAAAGGAGGCGGCATTGGGGAACGAAAACCAGGGAAGGCGAGTATGGTCTTGGGCAGTGGTTGGCAAACTGCAGCTCTTGGACTAATGAGTTTGCCAACCACTGGTCTAGGACATGGGGTCAAGTGCCCAGGCATCGGGTGGGCGGCTGGAGACTCTGGAGCCTTGGGTGGGGGGACAGGGGGTGAGAGGGGCCCGCAGAGGTGCTGGTGGAAGCCTTACCCGCAGAGGGCAGGAGAGAGCAGGTGTTGGTTATTTTCACCTGGCCCGGGGCGGGGGAGGGGCCAGAAGACTCTCAGGACCACTCTAGGGGTGGGGAAGCCAGTGGAGGACAGCAGGACGAGGAGGGTGGAGGCTGAACGGCTTCCGATGGGAGAATTCCAAGAGCTAGCCTGGTGTGGGCAGTGGACAGTGGGCTGTGGGCAGTGAGCAGGGGGTAGTGGGCAATGGACTGTGGGCTGTGGGCAGGGGCTGGGGGCAGTGGGCAGTGGGCTGTGGGCAGGGGCTGGGGACAGTGGGCAATGGACTGTGGGCTGTGGGCAGGGGCTGGGGGCAGTGGGCTGTGGGCAGTGGGCTGTGGACAGGGGCTGGGGGCAGTGGGCAGTGGGCTGTAGGCAGGGGGCAGTGGGCAATGGGCTGTGGGCAGTGGGCTGTGGACAGGGGCTGGGGGCAGTGGGCAGTGGGCTGTAGGCAGGGGGCAGTGGGCAATGGGCTGTGGGCAGTGGGCAGGGGGTAGTGGGCAATGGGCTGTGGGTAGGGGCTGGGGGCAGTGGGCAGTGGGCAGGGGGCAGTGGGCAATGGACTGTGGGCAGTGAGCTGTGGGCAGTGGGCAATGGACTGTGGGCTGTGGGCAGGGGCTGGGGGCAGTGGGCTGTGGGCAGTGGGCTGTGGACAGGGGCTGGGGGCAGTGGGCAGTGGGCTGTAGGCAGGGGGCAGTGGGCAATGGGCTGTGGGCAGTGGGCTGTGGGCAGTGGGCTGTGGACAGGGGCTGGGGGCAGTGGGCAGTGGGCTGTAGGCAGGGGGCAGTGGGCAATGGGCTGTGGGCAGTGGGCTGTGGGCAGTGGGCTGTGGGCAGTGGGCTGTAGGCAGTGGGCAGGAGGCAGTGGTCAATGGGCTGTGGGCAGGGGGCAGTGGGCTGTGGGCAGTGAGCAGTGGGCTGTGGGCAGAGGGCAGTGGGCAGTGGGCAGAGGGCAGTGGACTGTGGAGAGAGCAGGCGGAGGCCGGCTGCCCGGGAGTAGCTGTACCACTGGGAGCAGGCAGGCCTGGAGGAGAACCCAGATCAGGGGCAAGGTCCAGGCCCCACACAGGCACCATGACCCTCCTGGCCCCACAGCGTGGCTCTGGCCCGCTCCCTGCTTCTCTCCTACCTCCTCAGCAGGTTTTAGCTTGTTTCTCAAAGTGCCTTCCCTCTCTCCTGGGCCACTGCCTCCTGTGTGAGTAGGGAGGCCCCTCCGCTGGTCCCTATAAAGCCTCCTCTTGCCGCCCCCCTCCCTCGGGCACCCCTGCCCAGGGCCCACTCCCCCATAAGGAACCTCATGGACGAGGATCCGGTTCACGGTCTAGTTCACAGCTATGACTCCTGGCACATGCTCAATAAATACTTGATGACTGGCTGGGTGGATTTCATGCTCTCAACAACCCTGTCCCTATGGACAGATGAGGGAGCCGGGGCTCAGAGGGGTTCAGTAATGTGCCTGTAGTCACGCCATCTCAGGCCACACGGGGGATTCTGACTCGGTGCTCGCTCTGCGCTGCAGGGTCACCAGGAGCACCTTCCCCGTGTCCCCGAGGACCGGCAGGCGGCCCATGGGTTTTGGGGAGTTTGAGAGGCTTTCCTGCAGGTCAGGGGTTGGGGGGAGGGGAGCACAGGTGTGGAGGAGCCACCTGGAGAGGCGAGGGGCCTCGCTGCCAGGCAGGTGGGAGGAGCTGTGACAAAAGCATCTGCTTCCCTCCCCAGGAGCGGCTCCTGCTATCCGTCCTTCCCCGTCATGTTGCCATGGAGATGAAAGCAGACATCAACGCCAAGCAGGAGGATATGATGTTCCATAAGATTTACATCCAGAAGCATGACAACGTGAGGTAGGCGTGAGGCTGGGGGCTAGGGCAGGTGGGGAGACAGAGCCCTGACGGAGACCGTGGGTGTTGCCACCCTCTTCCCTCAAGGGGGCGCTGCCCGCCAGGGTGGTCTGGTGGCTTTGGAATGTGTGTTGTGTGGATCCCCTCTAGTTCTGTTAAGGTGAGTGATTTGGGGGGTGGGGGAGGGGAGGCGGCAGAGAGAGAGGAGATAGGAAGAAGGAGAAGGGAGAAAGCGGTACCACCAGCTGTTGAGGAAACCGCTAGCTTAACGAGGGAGAGGGAGTTCAGATGTCTCCGCCATCATCCCAGTCTTCATCACCATCCAGCAGCTTCCGCAGCTTCTAAGCCAGAGTGTGCCAGGCATGGTGCCAGCGCTGTCCGCCTCCCTGCTATCCCTCCTGACAACTCTGCAAGGTGGGGGGCCCTCACCAGCATCCCCGGTTTAAAGACTGAGCTCGGAGTCAGTCACAGAGACCCTCGCCCGAGGTCACCCGCCAGGACTGAGGAGGCCAGTGCCCCCAGGCCGGCCCAGCCCACAGCCCTCGCTCCTTCCATGGCTGGGCTGCTCTCCCCTGGACAGATGCTGCTGACAGCGGTGATGTGCAAACAGATGCGGAATAACAGAGTGCAAAATCTGCTTACGACTCCGCGGGGACCTGATGCGGTACCGTGGCCTCCGTCCAGCTTGGCTGATAATCCTCCCGTGTGCCCGGGAACGGAGCTCTCTGCCTGGAGAGTTCCTTTTCCCTGGGCGGGTTTTCCCAGCACCCGCGAGTCCTCTACGGCTGGTGTAGGGAGAGCTGCATTGTCAACAAAGGGGTGAAATGGAACCACCTGAGTCACACACAGTCACACGCATCCACGGTGAGCCCGGTGGCTGCAGCGGCGGCGCCAGGACCTGTGTTTTCCTGCCGAGCAGGCAGAATCGCCGTGCTCCCTCCTATGCCCTGGGATCTGACTGTCCTTTCTGTCTGCATGTCCTCTGTCCATCTCTCCCACAGACCCGAGAAAAATGTACCTGCACAACACTTTTGCTCCCAGTTTGGGGGTATCCCAGCTCCCCTGTAGCCCACCCACACCCCACTGTCAGGAAGGAGGCTGCCCTGGCCGGGTCCCTGTGCCCAGGAGGTGTCCTCAGGGGCTGGGGGCTCAGCTGACTGAGCTCGGAGAGGGAAGGGGGCCCGGCCTTGGCAGGGAGCTCCGACTGTTGGTTTCCTTTTCTCCTCCTCACGCCCGCTTCTGTCCTCCCGTGGTGGAATAATCGATAACAGTAGTTAATATTGTAGAGAGATTTCTGTAGCCCATGCATTATTCTAAGTGCTTTCATATGTTCACTTAGTCCCCACAATCACTATAAGGGGTTGGTGCTATTATTATCTCCATTTTCCAAGTAAGGAAACTGAGACACGGAGATGACCTTGCCTAGGATCTCATAGCCCGATAAGTGGGAGAAGTGGCCTCAGAAAGCTTTTGATACGAGAGTGTTTACATAGCGATTCCTGGGCAGGTGTTTTCAGATGCCTAGGAAAAGGAGTGCATATGAGATTGTGTGAGCTCTCGGGCCAAGAGGAGATGCAGAGAAGAGAGGTTTGGCTTCCAGCGTGTGTGTGAGTGTGTGTGTGAGTGTGTGTGTGTGTGTGTGTTCCTGTACGTGGTGTGCATGTGTATGGATGAAATACACATAATAATCTGGCCACTCTGTATATTCTGTATAATAAATACACACACACACACACACACACACACACACACACATTTAGTAGCCAGATTATTATGATCTCTGAACACATAGTAATCTGGCCACTCGGTCTATATTGTATATAATAAAATTCTCCCCTCTATCAGGAGTTCAACCTGCAGGCAGGCTGGCCAACCACCCATGTCCCCTCCTTCTGGCCAGGCTGGCCTGACCCCACCTGTGCACGAATTATATACACACATACACTGAGTGGCCAGATTATTATGTGTTCAGAGATTGCATATATCTCAAGTGGAACACAAAGGGAACCCAGAAAATTCACTGCTCAGAAACAGACCACCAAGGCAAAAGCTCATGTCTCAGCTTGGCTAACACATCTGGCACATCTGCCCCCTCTGCCTCTGCCCAGTCCCTCGCCCTCCCCCTCTTTGTCCTCAGCCCCACCCCTGATCTCCCATCCACCCCACCATTGTTGGCTTTTGGGCCCTCCAACAAGGGGGTTTGTTCAGAGCCTGACTCCACCACCACAAGGAGTGGCCCACCCTGGGGAGACACCTCCCGCCCCCCCAGCCCTGCGACAGGCTGTGACCTTGAGCCGATAAAAGAGAACAGTGCCCTGATCACAGAGTGCCCGGAGCACTGCCTGGCGAGAGGCAGACCCCAGCCACAGCGCAGGGCATCTGTTCTCAGACGTGCTTAGGTCTGATGACAGCAATCAGGAAGGAGATGAAAGGAGAGAGAAGTCAAGTTGCCGTCATTTTCATGGGAATAGACATGATTCTGGCTGAAGTGGCCAGGCTGGAGGTGGCCGGTGCACATCAGAGGCAGCCGCCAGCGATCATATGCAGATGTCCCGCTGGGCCCCTGCCTCTTGCATTAGCAGCACTGGGGGCAGCTCTTGATGGAGACACACCGCTTGGTCCAGTCTCTTTTTGGGGTGGATTCTGCTAGGGTTGGGTGTTAAGCAGTCGATGGAGGGTGACCTCACAGCAATTAGGCCTAAGTTTGGGCAGCTCTACGTGTGACCCCAGCGTTCCTGGCTGTGTGACCAGGCCTAGCTGTAGGCATTGAGCCACTCTGAGCCCTGTTTCTTCATCTCCATAATAGGCGAGGAAGAGCACCCAATAACAGGGTTGTGAAGAGTCAATGAAATAACACGTGGAGAGTGCCTAGCACAGGCTCTGACCGAGCAGTGGTCAGTAATTGGAAGCAGCCATTGTTTTGCTGTTATTACGATGATTGTTATCACCCTCCTATCAACAAAGAAAGGCCTGGGGATTCTCAGGCTGGCCAGTGGAAGGGTGATGAGTCACATTTGTCAAATCTCCGCGGAACAGTAATATTTAGAGAGGGTGATGACATGCTGTTCTCTAACCCCACCGAGAGCAAGGCCACAGGAAAAATAAATCAACTCTATGGTGTGACAGACCAGGGCTGGCTCTGTGGAAGGGGAGGAGACTAATGGCAGGGAGATTGGGTAGGGAGGGGGGACAGACAGGCGCCACCACTCTTTGTGGCCTCGTGTCCCCCCACCCACCCCGAAGAATGGCCGATCTGGGACCACCAGCAGCTTGTTGGGCCTTTGATGCTGAGCCGCCACTACTGGCTAAGGGCTGAGGCAGCCGGGAGCCCCACAGATCCTCTCTGGTCCGATGTGTGAGGACAGATGGAGACATTTCACCCCTCCTCTCCCCCCCCCTCCCGCCCCCACCACCTCCAGCCCTGGCTGGACAGATCAGCTGGGACAGAGACCCATTGCTGGGACATTAGACCTGGGGTTTGACACCCCTCTTGCCTATCCCCATCTTTCCCCCTGGGGCCAGGAGTGCCAAGGTCAGAGGGGGCTCATTGGGGTCAGAGGAACAGGCCAGCCAGAGAGGCACCCCACAAAGAGGGGGTGTGTCCCCATGGGTCACAGTAACTGTCCAGGCACAGCCAGAACCCAGGTGACACCAGGGCACCCTCACCGGGAGGTCCCTGCTGCCGAGCAAGGTGCACGTCTGTGCTGAGCAGACTGGTCCCTCCCCTCGCTCCCCTCCGTAGCGCTGGGAACTCGGGCAGGTCACCGCCCCTGAGCCTCCGTTTCCTCACCTGTGAGGTGGGAGCATCGGTGGCCACGCACCCCCTGGTCAGCGGGGATTTTGCCTCTGCCTCCCTTGGCCGCGCTCACAGACCCTTAGCTCAGGACGGGGGGTGAAGGGGACACTGTCTGGCACCTGGCGGCTCACCTTCTGTCCGGAAAGACACGTGCTCAACAACAGATCAGCGAGTAAACCGGGAACGTGTCACATGAGGTGTGGGGAGGACTCCCTTCGCCAAGGGTGTAGAGATTACACAACGCACTGCTCAGTTATCCCGTCACACCTGTGATCAAAGTCACAGAGGGGCAGGATCTGTAAGCGGGGGCTCATTGCGGGGTGCTGGGAGGGACAGGAGGTCTGGTGTGTAAAGCCCCTGTCTAGCCCCTGTCCCAGGCTCTCAGGCAATGTCAAGGTCAGGTAACCCAGTGTCCAAGGGTTTCAGGGGCTGGGAAGGCTGAGGGAGTACTGAAGGGCTCCCCCTTCTGTAGGGTCTTACTGAATGAGGATGGCCCCGCTCCTGATTGGCCTGTCCTTATACGACCCCTAAGGTTCTAAAGGTCATAGGTGGTGGGAATGGCCAGGGGTTGTTCAGGCAGCTCCTCCTTCAGGGGGTGCTGGTCCTGCTGAACAAACTCTTCCTCCCCGGCTCCTCTGTGAGGACCTGGGATGGAGTGTGGGCGTCTGGGCTCACTGGCTTGAGTCCGAGTTTTATTCTCAGGGACCCAGGAGCCATGGGGGGCTGGAGCCAGGGGCCTAGCAGAGGGGCTATTGGCCGAGATGTGAAAGTGAGTAACACCCACCCCTATACACAAGATGCAGCAAGGGCTAGAAGGGCTGCCCTGCCCTCCCTCCTTTCCTCTTCCTCCCCCTCTCCCTAGGCTCACAACCCTCCCTCCACCCCACCCGCCTGGTAAGGTTATTATCTCCTCTCCTGTCTCCCTCAAGCACTTGGCTGCGTCCCCAGGTCGCTCCGGCGTCTGGCCCAGCTACTTTGTGCTCTGAATTATAATGACCTCGCGACAGTGTCCGCGGTGTTCCGATGCCCGTGAGTGGAGTGTGCACCCCGTGGGCAGAGGGAAAATGTCCTTGGCCAGCCCACCGTGTGAGGAGTGGTCCATGCATGCCGGGCACTCCTGCCTCCAGCCTGATAGGAAGTGTTCTGAGTTCTACACCCCTACCAGGGATCGATACCAGGGGTCTTTATGTGATTATCTCATTCATCC